GGGGCGGGGCGGGGCGGCGCCGGCCGCGGCGGCACTGGGCACGCACGCGCAGACCGGCCTTCGCGCCCGGAGGCACCGAGGAGGGGGGAGCGGGGACGAGGGGGATGGAACGTATTTCCGCTCTGGCGGACAAATAATACCGGCCAAAGGGGAGGCCAGGCTCTCCGGCCCTTTAACCGTGTGGGGGGGCTGGTGCTGAAAGGGGGGTCAGGAGGGGGGAACTCCTGCTCCTTTAATTCCCTCCCCTCTTCCTCCTCCCAGAGTGCTTGCCGCGGCCGCCGCGCGCGGAGCCTGGAACACTCGGCACGAGCCGCCCCCGCCCCTCCCTCCCGACGCCCACGCGGAGCCAGCCCCGCGCGCGCGCCCCGTGCACCCCCGCGCCTGCGCGCTGCCCGGGCCCGGCCCAAGTGTGGGGGCGCCGGCGGCCCCGGGGGGGTGGGGGAAGTAGGGGGGCAAAAAAACAGCACGCGGACCAGGGCCAGGTGAGAGGCGCGTGCACTCAGGGTCTGGGGCTGGCGGGGCGTGCCACGGAGCTCGGAGGGTGGGGGGGGCGTGCACCGTGCGTGCAGGCGGTGGGGGGGAGGACGTGAAAGGCGCGTGCAAACGTGCAAAGTGAGGGCGGAGGAAGGAGGCAGCGAGTAAAGGGGGCGGGGTGAGAAGATCCTGCAACCCGGGCACCCCGGAGCCCAGAGCCTCAGGCCTCTACTCCTGTTTCCGTGGGCACACGGGCTCGCCCCATCCTCGCGGGCGGTAGGGCTGGGGGTATGGACGCGGCTGCCCCGCCCCCGGGAGCCACGCCTCCCTCTCCGGGCAGGGACAGCGCCCCCACCCCCACCCCGGGGCTGGGGAAACTGAGGACTGAAGACTGGGAGATGTGATCTGGGGGGCCGGGCAAGAGGGGACGAGGGGCCTGGAGCCTTGTCTGAGGAGAGCCAGAGACCTTTGTCTCTGACCGGTTTCCTTCCCAACCAGGGTTGCCCACCCCCCGCCACAATGGCCTCTGGGGTGGAAGTCCTGCGCTTCCAGCTGCCGGGCCACGAGGCTGCTACACTGCGGAACATGAACCAGCTCCGCGCAGAGGAGCGGTTCTGCGACGTGACCATTGTGGCCGACAGCCTCAAGTTCCGAGGCCACAAGGTCATCCTGGCTGCCTGCTCCCCTTTCCTGCGGGACCAGTTCCTGCTGAACCCCAGCTCTGAGCTGCAGGTCTCACTCATGCACAGCGCACGCATAGTGGCCGACCTGCTGCTCTCCTGCTACACGGGCGCCCTGGAATTCGCTGTCAGGGACATCGTCAACTACCTGACGGCCGCCTCCTACCTGCAGATGGAGCACGTGGTGGAGAAGTGCCGGAACGCCCTCAGTCAGTTTATCGAGCCCAAAATAGGCCTCAAAGAGGACGGGGTCAGCGATGCCAGCCTTGTGAGCAGTGTCAGTGCCACCAAATCCCTCCTCCCTCCTGCCAGGACCCCAAAGCCAGCCCCCAAGCCCCCGCCTCCACCCCCGCTTCCCCCTCCCCTCCTTCGGCCTGTGAAGCTAGAGTTTCCGCTGGATGAGGACCTGGAGCTGAAGGCTGAGGAAGAGGATGAGGATGAGGATGAGGATGTGTCTGACATCTGCATCGTCAAGGTGGAGTCTGCCCTGGAGGTGGCACACCGCCTCAAACCTCCCGGCGGCCTGGGAGGAGGTCTGGGCATCGGAGGCTCGGTGGGCAGCCACCTGGGGGAGCTGGCCCAGAGCAGCGTGCCCCCCAGCGCTGTGGCCCCACCGCAGGGCGTGGTGAAAGCTTGCTACAGCCTCTCCGAGGATGCGGAAGGGGAGGGCCTGCTGTTGATCCCTGGAGGCCGGGCCAGCGTCGGGGCCACCTCTGGCCTGGTGGAGGCAGCAGCAGTGGCCATGGCTGCCCGGGGGGCGGGGGGCAGCCTCGGGTCGGGGGGCAGCCGGGGGCCCCTGCCCGGGGGCTTCTCCAGTGGCAGCTCCCTGAAGAACATCAAGTGCACCAAGTGCCCAGAGGTGTTCCAGGGCGTGGAGAAGCTGGTCTTCCACATGCGGGCGCAGCACTTCATCTTCATGTGCCCGCGCTGCGGCAAGCAGTTCAACCACAGCAGCAACCTCAACCGCCACATGAACGTGCACCGCGGCGTCAAGTCGCACTCCTGTGGCATCTGCGGCAAGTGCTTCACGCAGAAGTCCACGCTGCACGACCACCTCAACCTGCACTCGGGAGCCAGGCCCTATCGCTGCTCCTACTGCGACGTGCGCTTTGCGCACAAGCCTGCCATTAGGCGGCACCTCAAGGAGCAGCACGGCAAGACGACGGCCGAGAACGTGCTGGAGGCCAGCGTGGCGGAGATCAATGTCCTCATCCGCTAGCGCGGGCCCGGCTCTGGGTCGGTGGGCTGGGTGGGAAGGGATCCCCTGGCCCAGGAGAAGGGGGGGTCGGGGACACGCAGGTATGGCGGGGAGCCTGAGCAGACACACACGTCCTGAGCGAGGGGTCCAAGATTCCTGGACAGAAGAGCTGCCTCTTCCGAAGAAAAGGGTGGAGAGGGAGAGGGTTCTTCTTTGAGAAGGCCAAGGGAGGAGGGCCCCAGAGAGACCGACTCCTCTCCGAGGTGCATGCGTCTGTGGAGGGAAAGGGTCCTCCGGAATGAGGCGGCAAAGGGACTGGAGACTGTTTTTCCTGGCCACGCCTGCCCAGGGAGAGGTCTGACGTTTCTTGAGGTGGGGTGGGTGGGTGGGAACTGGGAGGGTATTTGGCAGGGGTTCCTTACATGCTCCTGCTTAGACTAGATTCTTGGGAGAGGGACTGGTAGGGGGAAGGATTATTGAGCCCCAGAAAAGGAAGGGGGACAGGTCTTGCATGCTGGGGAATGGGACTGTGGGTACAAGGCTCACCAAAATTCTAGGAAGAACAAGGTGGCAGGTAAGAGAACATAGGGATGAGCATCCTGGATAGTATCGGGAAGTGGGGTACAATAGCAAAAACGGGAATAAGGGGGTGGGGAGAGGGCACTTAGATGAAAGGACACAGAAGAGCTGTTTAGGGGGAGGGAGAGGAGTAGAGACTTATACAGTATTTTTTAAAAACACGTATTTTTTAGGATTTTTTTCTGGAGTTTGGGGTTTTAGGTGTTTTTTTTTTTTTGCTTTTGTTTTCCACAAAATAAAAAAAAATCCTTTTTTTTTTTCTTTATACTCTGTCTGGCAACTGCTTGTAAATGACCGTCCACCCTAAGCAGCCTCCTGTTTGCTCAGTACCCAGAGGTCACAACTCACGCAGGTCCCGTGCCTGAGGCAGGCCCAACAGGGAAGGGGGTGTCACCAGTGGGCTCTCCGGCCGGGGCCCTTCCAGTTAAACCTCTACACCTGCCAGGTACCTCAAGCACAAGTGTCCCATGATAATCCGTGACCGGCTCCCCAGGAGTTTGGTATCGAGGCCAGGGATGGGCTACAGGTGTGATCACTGTGCCCACCAAAACCGCAAGCAGGAGCCCATGTCGGGGCATTTTTGGTCTGGGGAAAGGGTCGGTGTCCTCGGGAAAGCTAAAAGTCACTAGGCGTGGAAGTGTGGGTCTGGGGAAACTACAATTCCCAGAAAGCCCTACTGGAATAGTTCCTAACCAAAATCAACTACAGTTCCCAGAAAGCCTCGAATTGGCCTATATCCCAACCACCTGTCTGTGTCAAATACTGTCTGTGAAATCAGTTTCCCAACTTTGACCAGATGAGTTCCTAAACGGGCCGCACCCGAATAGTTCGATCGACGTTGTCCGTCTTGGCCTCATAGCCATGCTTCCACTCTCTGCCGGGCTGTGGCCCCGGCGCCTGACTGCGCTTGTGAAGTGTCTGGCTAAAAAGGTTACTTTCCCCGACAGCAGTGACTCCGGGGCACTGGGGGGCTATCGGGATTCCTAGCGCGTGCGTTGGGGTGACATGTCTGATATAAACGGAAGGCCACCTCCCCGCCAAGGGGACGTGAAGCAGCCTGCGAGAGCCGGCCGGGTCCTGTGCGTCCCAAGGCCCTTCTTTTCAAATCATAAAGTGTATTTGGAAAGTTACAGAGGCAGCGGTGGGCCAGCCGGGCTGCGAAGGCTCAGGAAACAAGTGACAGACTTCGAAGGGCCCCTGGAGCTCAGGGGAACGAAAGGCAAAGGCGCCCGCCTGCTCGGGGAGGGGCGGCGAGTCCCCTCGCCCCCTCGTGCTTCAGCGAAGCCCAAGCGGAGGCCCACCTGCTCTCTGCAGCCCAGCCCGGGAAGCACTAGAAGTGGGGGAGCCCCGGTCCGGAGGCTGACACTCCGCCGGGACCCAAAACCTGGGGGAGGCCACACCTGGGCCCGCGCGCCCGCGTGGCTCCCCCGCGCCAGCGCCCCGGAGCCGAGAGCAGGAACCAGAGGCCTCCGCCCGCAGCCATGGCCGAGGCCGCTCTCCGGGGAAAATGGCCAGAAAGCGCGCGGTGGCTCCTTTAAGGCCCTTCCCGGCCCGCCCTCCCGGCCCACGTGACCCGGGGCGGCCGCGCCGGCTGGGCCCCAGCGCAGCGGCGATGGCGGCGGCGGCGGGAGCTGCAGCGGCGGCCGCCGAGGTGCGGAAGGGGAGGGGGAGAGGCGGGTGCATGCCCGCGCGCGCGCCCGGGGGAAGCGCGCGCCCGTGCAATGCTCCGGGGGTGCAACGGGGCCGGGGGGCCCGGGCGGGACTTACAGCCATCCGGAGGGCCAGCACCGGGGGCGGATGAGGGGACCAGGGGGTGGGAGGTGGGGGGAGTGGGCACGGGGGCGCGCGTGCAGCCTCTGGCCGTCCCCGAGTGGGCGGCTGGCCCCGGCGCCCCAGGAGCGCGCGCGAGGGGCGCGAGAGGCCGTCCGCCGGGCTGGGGGGCAGCGGGTGCTGGAGGGGTTGGTGCCCGGGGTCCCCGCGGCCTGGGGGACAAAGGGGGAGCGGCGCGTGCCGCCGGGAGGAGGGGGCGGGGCCGGTGCGCGGAGGCCCCGCCCCCTCCCCCTCCTCTCCTCTCGGTCCCTGAGATGCGGGGTCTGCCGAGAGGCCGGGGGCTGATGCGGGCCCGGGGCCGGGGCCGTGCGGCCCCGCCGAGCAGCCGGGGCCGCGGGAGGGGGGGCGCCCACAGAGGGAGAGGTAGGCCCCGGAGCCTGCTCTCTCTTCCCAGGGCCCAGGCGTCTTGGGCCCCCCAACTTCCTACCGGGCTGACCAGCCCTCCTCTCCCTGGTGTCGCCTCTCAGGGGGAGGGCCCCGCTGAGATGGGGGCTCTGGTGCTGGACAAGGAGCCCCGAGGAGCCGTCGAGCGAGGTGAGTGAAGCAGAAACGGCCCCGCTGGACCATTACCTCCCTAAGCGCAGGCTCCCTGGCCCGGGGCCCTGAACTTTCTCTCTTCCCTTACAGTTCACGGCTCTTTTGGGGACACCCCTCGTAGTGAGGAGACCCTGCCCAAGGCCAACCCCGACTCCCTGGAGCCTGCTGGCCCCTCATCCCCAGCCTCTGTCACCGTGACTGTTGGCGACGAGGGCGCCGACACCCCTGTAGGAGCCACACCACTCATTGGGGATGAACCTGAGAATCTTGAGGGCGATGGGGACCTCCAAGGGGGGCGCGTCCTGCTGGGTGAGCGGCGGGGGAGGCTGGGGAGAGGTGGGGCGCCCTCTGACTCTGCCTCCTCTGATCTTGCCTTGCTATCTGCCTGCTGTTTTCCAGGCCATGCCACAAAGTCATTCCCCTCTTCCCCCAGCAAAGGGGGTGCCTGTCCCAGCCGCGCCAAGATGTCAATGACGGGGGCGGGGAAGTCACCCCCCTCGGTCCAGAGTTTGGCGATGAGGCTGCTGAGTATGCCTGGGGCCCAGGGGGCAGCGGCAGGGCCTGAACCCCCTCCAGCTACAACCAGCCCAGAGGGGCAGCCCAAGGTCCACCGAGCCAGGAAAACCATGTCCAAGCCGGGCAATGGACAGGTGAGGCCCGGGGGAGGGCTGTGGGGTGCAGAGCTCAGCCTCTGGTGAGCTTTCCCGTCCTCTAGCGACAGGGCTGCTAATCGGGCCACAGCTCTGTGCATGTGCCCGGGGCTGTTCGGTGTCACATTCTGGGCTGGGCTTCATGCGTGGACAGACAGGTCCCCTGCACATTACAGTCTTGGGCAGAGTAGGAGAGACAGCTGTTAGACTTATGTATCTAGTTCATGTCTTCATTACTCTTTTTTAAAAAATGTAGTTTATTGATTTTTTTAGAGAGGAAGGGAGAGGGATAGAGAGTTAGAAACATCGATGAGAGAGAAACATCGATCAGCTGCCTCCTGCACACCCCCTACTGAGGATGTGCCCGCAACCCAGGTACATGCCCTTGACCGGAATCGAACCTTGGACCCTTGAGTCCGCAGGCCGACGCTCTATCCACTGAGCCAAACCGGGTAGGGCTTAATTACTCTTAAGACAATGATGATGTAAAGAAACGTCAACCCCCCTATCTTTTTAGCTCAGAGCAAGCCCCGGGGAGCTCTGCTCCCCAGAAACGGCCCCTGCTCCAGTTTAAAGGTTGTGATCCTACTGGGGAGGAGACGGGCCTCAGGAATGACAGGCCCCAGCATCTCCCAAGGCTTATGACTGTTTTTAAGGCTGTTGGTAGCATTCAGTTCTGCGTGCGGTTAGAGTAGCTTTGGTCAAGGCCTTAACCTTTGTTTTCTCGTCTGTAAAATGGGAAGCGGGCCTGCCGCACACTCGCAGAAACAAGTGAGGGTTGGGTGTGGGATGTGCTTGGGAGACGGCCGTTCTCCTGAGAGCCCCATCTGGTTCCTGCAGCTGCGGAAGGCATTTTTGAGGGTGTGGCTCACCACCCCACCCCCATTTGGGGCTCCAGGCTAGTCCAGGCCAAACCATAGCCTCTCCTGCCCCTAAGTGTGCTCCCTCTTGGTCCCCAGCCCCCAGTCCCCGAGAAGCGGCCCCCCGAAGTACAGCATTTCCGCATGAGTGACGACGTGCACCCCCTGGGGAAGGTGGCCTCAGGTCAGTCCCGCCCGCCCACCTGCAGCCTGATGAGGCCTGCTGAGAGTTTAGAATGCCAGCCTGCCTCCTGTCTTCTCTCCTTCCAGATGTGGCCAAAAGGAGGAAGCTGAACTCTGGAGGCGGCCTGGTGAGCAGGGAGAGGCGGGCACAGGCCTCCTCCGGGGGCTGCCGCAGGGGAGCCCCAAACGAGGGCTGCGTCCCAGCCTCGGGAAATGGGTTGGTGGGGGTGCCAGCAGCTTCAGTTGCTCTCATCTTTTTCTAGTTGGAGGAGTTGGGTTCTGCCCGGGGCTCAGGAGAGATGACCCTGGAGAAGGCGAATGCGGGCCCCCTGGAGGAGTGGGAGACGGTGGTGGGGGATGACTTCAGCCTCTACTATGACTCCTACTCTGTGGACGAGCGTGTGGACTCGGACAGCAAGGTGAGGGCCGCCGTGTCCAGGGCTCACTGCGCCCCCTTTTCACTCTTTCCTGTTTAGCACCCACTAATTCATTGCCCCATGCTCCCTATAACTTACTGCCCTGTGTGCTGCACCCCCTCCCCTCCTTGACCCTCCACAGTGACCCCCATCCATGTGACGGTTTATTTGTTGTGAGTTTGGGTGTTCATGCCACTGCTCTTGGTTTGGTTTTATCTCGCACCTTTGCCTGTGTGCTGTCATTCTTAGTCTTACCTGCTTCGCTTTTTACTTAATGTTTTATCATGGAAACTTTCAAATACAGGTGGTTCTCAAACAACACAGGTTTGACCTTCAAGGGTCCTCTTATACACAGAATTTTTCCCCAACAAATACCATAAACGTATTTTCCTTATGACTTATTTTTTCCAGCAGACTTGATCATAAGAATACAGAATGTATTACATATAACATACAAAATATGTGTTAACCAGCTGTTTATGTTACTGGTGAGACTTCTGTTCAACAGTAGGCTATTAGTTAATTTTGGGGGGAAATCAAAGTTATACACAGATTTTTTTTCTGCACCCCTAATTCCCATGTTGTTCAAGAACCAATTGTATACATAAAAGAATCCAAGAGTGGCCCTCACCAGTTTGACTCAGTGGATAGAGCTTTGGACTGAAGGGTCCCACGTTCGATTCCAGTCAAGGGCATGTAGGTCCCCCCAGGTCCGTGGTCGGCAAACCGAGGTTCGCGAGCCACATGTGGCTCTTTGGCCCCTTGAGTGTGGCTCTTCCACAAAATACCACGTGCGGGCGCGCACGTACAGTGCGATTGAAACTTCGTGGCCCATGCGCAGAAGTCGGTATTTTGTGGAAGAGCCACACTCAAGGGGCCAAAGAGTCGCATGTGGCTCGCAAGCCACGGTTTGCTGACCACTGCCCCAGACCATGGTCAGGGCACAAGCAAGAGGCAACCAATCACTGTTTCTCTCACGTCGATATTTCTGTCTTTTCCTCTCTTTTCCACTCTCTAAAAATCAATGGAAAAATATCCTCAGGTGAGGATTAAAAAAAATAATAATAACAAAGAAAGAATACAAGAGAAAGCCCCATGTAACCGTCAGTATATAACTGACTTTTTTTCTTTTTTTAATTAATTTTTTTACGTTCAACATTATTTAGGGTTTTTGTTTGTTTTTATTGAATTTTAGAGAGGACGGGAAAGGGAATGAGAGAGAGAAACATCAATACGAGAGCAAAATGTCGATGGGCTGCCTCCTGCACACCCCGACACCTGCCTCGATACCCAGCCACCTGAGTCACACTGGTCAGGGCTCAATATTAATAGGGTTAGACCGTTAGACAGTCATATACTTTGTAAGAGTTCCTCCCTGATACTGCCAGTTCCCGCCGGCACCGCACTCAGTCATTACAATATTATTGACCAGATTCCCAATGCTGTCCCGTACTGTACATCCTTGTGACTTTTTGTTATTGTTGTTAATCCTCACCCAAGGATATTTTTTCATTGATTTTTAGAGAAAGTGAGAGGAAGGGAGAGAGAGAGAAAAACATCCATGTGAGGGAGACACATTGATTGGTTGCTTCCCTCATGTGCCCAACTAGGGCCAGGGATTGAACCCAAGACCCTTTGGTGGTCGGGCACTCTAACCACTGGGTACACTGGGCACACTCTCCCCCCACCTCATGACTGTTTTGTAACTACAGATCTGCATTTCTCAATCCCTTCAGCTTTTTCACCCAGTCCCTCACCCCCCACCCCCACCCCCACACCTCCCCTCTGGCAACCATCAGTATTCTGTATCTGAGTCTGTTTCTGGTTTGTTTGTTTTTTTTTAAATATGTTTTATTGATTTTTTACAGAGAGGAAGGGCGAGGGAGAGGGATACAGAGTTAGAAACATCGATGAGAGAGAAACATCGATTCAGCTGCCTCTTACACGCCCCCCACTGGGGATGTGCCCGCAACCCAGGTACATGTCCTTGACCGGAATCAAACCTGGGGCCCTTCAGTCTGCAGGCCAACGCTCTATCCGCTGAGCCAAACTGGTTAGGGCTGTTTCTGTTTTTATATTGTTCTTTAGATTCCATGTACCAGTGAAATCCTGTGGTATTTCTCTGACTTATTTCACTTAGGATAATACCCTTTAGGTCCACCTTTGCTGTTGCAACACAGCTGATTTTTTAAGCTAATTTTATTTTTCAATAACAATAGACATACAATATATTGGTTTTGGGTATGCAACATAGTGATTAAACATTTATATACCTTACAAAGTGATCACCCCAGTAAATCTAGTACACATCTCACACCATACCTAGTTAGTACAATATTATTGACTATATTCCCTGTGCTGTATTTTACATCCTCATGACTTTTTATAACTGGTAATTTGTACTTCTTTTTCTCTTTTTTTAATCCTCACCTGAGGATATTTTTCCATTGATTTTTAGAGAGAGTGGAAGAGAGAGGGAAAAACAGAGAGAACTATTGATGTAAGAGAAACACATTGATTAGTTGCCTCCTGCAGGGCCCAGGCCGGGAAGGAGCCTGCAACCGAGGTACGTGCCCTTGACCGGAATCGAACCTAGGACCCTTCAGTCCACAGGCCGACGCTTTATCCACTGAGCCAAACCGATTAGGGTGCAACTTGTACTTCTTAATGCCTTCCCCTTTTCCCCCAGCCTCCCCCCGCACCCCCAATACCCCTCCCATCTGGCAACCATCAAAATGTTCTCTGAATCTTTGAGTTTGTTTCTGCTTCATTTATTTTGTTTTTGGTGAAATCACATATAAGTGAAATCATGGCATTTGTCTTTCTCCAACTTATTTTCCTCAGCGTAATACCCTCTAGGTCCATCCATGGGAAGATTTCACACTTTACAGCTGAGTGATAGTCCATTGTGTGTATGTACCACGTCTCCTTTCCCCTTGTCTATTGGTGGACACTTAGGTTGCTTCCATATCTTGCCTATTCTCTAACTAATAAAAGGGGCCCTAACTGGTTTGGCTCAGTGGATAGAGCATCGGCCTGCGGACTCAAGGGTCCCAAGTTCGATTCCGGTCATGGGCTGTACCTTGGCTGCAGGCACATCCCCAGTAGGGGGCGTGCAGGAGGCAGCTGATCGATGTTTCTCTCTCATCGATGTTTCTAACTCTCTATCCCTCTCCCTTCCTCTCTGTAAAAAATCAATAAAATATATTTAAAAAAAATAAAAATATAATAATAATAATAATAAAAGGGTAATATGCAAATTGTCCCCTCCACCGAGAGTTCTACCGGAGTTTGACCAGGGGGCGGGGCTGGCCTGCCAACCTCCCGCGTCCCCGCCCCCCAGCCAGCCCAGCCCTATGGGGCAGACCTGCCAGACCCCACACATGCACGAAATCGTGCACCGGGCCTCTAGTTCTAAATAACGTTCCAGTGAACAGAAGGGTGCATATGTGTATTGGAATTAGTGTTTTGGGTTTCATTCCCGGAAGTGGAATTGCTGGGTCATATGGTAGTTCTATTATTAATTTTTGAGGAAACTTCATACTGTTTTCCACAGTGGCTTCACCAATTTGCATTCCCAAAAACAGTCCTCAAAGGTTCTCTTTCCCCACATCCTCACCAGCACTTGTTGATTTATTCATGGTAGCCATTCTAACAAGTGTGAGGTCATATCTCACTGTGGTTTTAATTTGCATTTCCCTGCTGCTTACCGATGCTGAACATTTTTCATATCTCTTGGCCATCTGTGTGTCCTCTTTGGATAGGTGTCTATCCAGGTCCTTTTCCCATTTTTTAATTGGATTGTTTGGGGCTTTTTTGATTTTGTTTTTTTTTAATTTCAGTTATCTTTTTTATAAATTTTGGATATTGACCACTTATCAGATGTATCATTGGCAAATACAGTAGGGCCTTGACTTACGAGTGTCCCGACTAACAAGTTTTTCGAGATATGACCATTTTTTGCTTTGAGTTGTGAGCTAAAATTCGGGTTACGAGCCAGCTTCAGATACCCCACCACTAGGTGGCGCAGCGAACGTCACAGTGAATGCCACCACATCAGCCCAGCATCACGTGTCTCACTCATTCACTTTAATGATTTGACATACGAGTAATTTGAGTTACGAGCTCGGTCATGGAACGAATTCAACTCGTAAGTCAAGGCCCCACTGTATCTTTTTTCATTCAGTAGGTTGTCCTTGTGTTTTTGTTAATCCTCACCTGAGGATATTTTTTCCATTGATATTTAGAGAAAGTGGAAGTGGGCTTTCTTGTTGTTTTGTTGATGGTTTCCTTTGCTGTGCAGAAGCTTTTCATTTTGAGGTAGTCCCATTTGTTTATTTTCTCCTTAGTTCCCATTGCCCTGAGACTGTGGTCGGCAAACTGCGGCTCGCGAGCCACATGTGGCTCTTTGGCCCCTTGAGTGTGGCTCTTCCTAAGCCTTAGGAGTACCCTAAATAAGTTAATAGCAATGTACCTACCTATATAGTTTAAGTTTAAAAAATTTGGCTCTCAAAAGAAATTTCAATCATTGTACTGTTGATATTTGGCTCTGTTGACTAATGAGTTTGCCGACCACTGACCTAGGAGCTAAATCGGTAAAGATGTTGCTACGACATATGTCTGTTATTTTGCTGCCTATGGATTCTTCTAATATTTTTATGGCTTCTCATCTTATGTTTAAGTCCTTTATCCATTTTGAGTTTATTTTTGTGTATGGTGTAAGCTGGGGGTCTAGTTTCATTTTTTTGCATGTATCTGTCCAATTTTCCCAAAACCATTTATTGAAGAGACTGTCTTGATTCCATTGTATGTTTTTGCCTCCTTTGTCAAATATTAATTGAGCATAATGGCTTGGCTTGATATCTGGGTTCTCTGTTCTGTTCCACTGGTCTATATGTCTGTTCTTGTGCCAATGCCAGGCAGTTTTGAGAACAATGACTTTGTAATATAGCTTGTTATCTGGTATTGTGATCTCTCCAACTTTGTTCTTCTTTCTCAGTATT